AGGAGGAAGAAGAAGAAGAAGAAGAAGAAGAAGAAGAAGAAGAAGAAGAAGAAGAAGAAGAAGAAGACGAAGTCAGTGTTATATGTAGGCCATCATGCATCGACAGCAGCGCTGTCCCCCTGATGAGAATGAACACATGGTCAGAATGTCAACGGCCGATTGCATCTCACTGTAGCATTCTGGCTTCAGGACAGAGATGAAGACTGACTGACTGACGGACCAAATTCTCAAGCAGCTTACCGTTTGCGCCTAATATAATGCAAATGCTCCCGCGTTCGCACCATTAGAAGCTTTTAGTGCAAGCTCGCTCTGGTTTAATAATGAGCGCGGATCACGTTGTATATAGTTTTATCTCGTATTAGAATAATCCGGCTCAAAGAAAGGCTAGCATTAAGCATAAGTTTAGGGTAAGCGAGGCGATATATCTGCCGGTGGTGAATCAATTAATGATAACTTGCGTACAAACGGGCCGCCGGTGAGAAGTAATTATAGGTTCGAGCGATTGTCGCCTAGCTCGTTATATTGCTCGCTGCCGCTGTAAACGGATAAGAGAGGAAAACGGTCAACGGATACGAGAGGAAATTTGCGTTGTTACTTACTCCCACACGTACACGCAAGCGCGTAAGCACGCACGCACGCACGCACACACGCACACGGCGCGCACACGGCGCACGAACACTGCGCACACATGCACGCACTCGCACATGCACGCACGCACATGCACATTCACGCACAAATACACGCGCAAGCACACAACGCACATATTCACACATGTACGAATGCACTACACGTACTGCGCGCACACCCACACGCACACACACAATACTACTACTACTACTACTACTGGACTACTACTAGCTACTAATCAATAATAATAATAATACATAATAAATAATAATAATAGTATAACTAGAGCATCGAGAGACAGCAGACCTGCCGCACAAGGCAGCTGAATTCTCTCATGTAAGTTTGTTTATTAATTAATTCATTAATAGAGTGACAAGAATTATTAATTAATTAATAATTAAATAATTAATTGATCCGG